TCGAAGTCCTCCCTTCTTAAAACATGGCTGGCTGGGGGATTCTGGGAACTGAAGTCTTCCCTTCTTAAAGCATGGCTGGATGGGGGATTCTGGGAGTCGAAGTGCACCTCTAAAAATTTCTAAACACGGCTTTGTAGACGCCAGGTTGAACCGGCCTCTGCCCAGATCTGCTAAATATAGGCAAGAAAGAGGAAACAGGAAAAGATGGAAATTAAATCACCGCCATTCCATCAAAAGATGAGCAGGATAACAAGCAAAGGTTGCGCGCTCTCTGCTCTCTACTCTGCAAAAACAATTCTCAATAGACGTGCGCGCGACAAAGATGGTAAGATATTCTCTGCACGTTACCTTTCTAGATAATTTTGCTTGAAATCCTGCTAATATTAAATCCTGTATAAATTAAAATACGGTGAATAGGGAAATGAAGCAGGGACGGGGGAAATGTGAGGTGTGCGGGGGTGGGGAGGAACGGAAAATACTGGTAGTCCTCGACTTACAACCACAATTGAGCTCAGCATTTTTGTTCCCGAGCAAGACTGTTGTTCACTGAGTTTTGCCCCATCTTATGACTTTTTTCTTGCCACAGTCATTAAGTGAATCCCTGCAGTTATTAAATTAGCCGCACAGTCGTTAAGTGAATCTGGCTTTCCCCATTGACTTTGCTCGTCAGAAGGTTGCAAAAGGGGATCGATCGCCTGACCCCTGGGACACTGCGACCGTCATAAATGCAAGTCAGTTGCCAAGCGTCTGAATCACGTGACCCTGGGGGTGCTCCGGCCGCCGTAAGTGCGGAAAATGGACACAAGTCCTTTTTTTCAGGGCTGTTTTAACTTTCAGCGGCCATTTGACGAACTGTTGTAAGTCGAGGACTAGCATTAACTTCCAATTTTTCTTCAGGGCGGTAGAATAAAAATTCTAAAAACACGCTCACATTTTTCTAAACTGAGTTGGGGACCTGAGAAATGAGCTGGTACTGAAGCAGCCTCCAAGGAGTCCTTGACTGACAGCCATTCGTTTAGTGACCGTTCGAAGGTAGAACGGTTACTAAATGGTGAAGAAAGTGACTTACAACCAGACCTCACACACTCCCAGATCCCCTTGGTCAGGTGACCTTTTTCCTCCTTCCTCTTTCTCTCCTCTCTCTCTCTTTTTTCTTTATTTCTCCCTCCCTCTCTTCTTCCTTTGTCTTTCCTCCTTCCTACCTTTTTCTCTCCTCCCCTCCTTCCCTTCTTCATTACTCCCTCCCTTTCTCCTTCCTTTCTCCCTCCCTCTCTCATTTCTTCCTTTCTTTCTCTCCTCCCTTCCTTCTTCCCTTCTTCATTCCTCCCTCCCTTTCTCCTTCCTTTCCCCCTCCTTCCCTCCCTCATTTCCTTCTGTCCTCCTTCCTACCTTTTTCTCTCCCCCCTTCCTTTCTTCTTCCTTTCTCCCTCCCTCTCTCATTTCTTCCTTTCTTCCTCCTTTCTCTTTCTCTCCTCCCTTCCTTCTTCCCTTCTTCATTCCTCCCTCCCCCCTTTCTCCTTCCTTTCTCCCCCTCTCTCATTTCCTTCCTTTCTTCCTCCTTTCTCTTTCTCTCCTCCCTCCCTTTCTCCTTCCTTTCCCCCTCCCTCCCTCCCTCATTTCCTTCCTTCCTCCTCCTTTTTCCTCCGAGAAGCAACCCAGGCAGCTGAATGGCCCCGATCCCCTTTCCCAATCTTATCCCAGTCCCCCGCTTGACCGGTGGTGACCGCCTGGCACCCCAAGACTGAAAACCCGCAGCTACGATACAGGGGCTGCCCAACCCACGTCCAGATGCTGCCTTCCTTTGGAAAAAGAAAGAAAGAATGAATGCAAGGCCTGGACTAACCGAATCACATCTCCTCCCGGGGGAAAATGCCCTGCCCTGAGCAAGAACCGTAGACAAAAAGATATTTGCAGCCTCCTGGCTCCCTGGTTCAGTCGAGAAAGGCTGACTGTAAGCTAACCTGGGCTAATGAATTAATTAACGGCCCTGCCTGGGCAGTGACAGGACAGGGACAAAGGCGGGTGGCGGGGAGAAGCTATCGCTCCTCCAGCCGAAACAAGCTCCGGTTTGCACCGCGCTGAGCCACCGAAGGGAGATGGCCTGGGACCCGAACACCCGAAGCCCCCTCTGTCCATTTGGGGGGTCGCCTTCCATCCTGCTATGTTACTCCAGCACTGCCTGGAGCCAGCTAATTCAGGTGAGGAAGAGGAGGGGGGTGGGAGGAAGATTTGGGAGGGGGGGAGAAGGGATTGGGATGGGAGACTGGGGAGAAATGGATGGGTGGGTCCCTGAGTGGAGAGACCCTCATCCGGGATCGGCCAAGGATCAGGGGTGGATCTAAAAACAGAAAATAATATTTGTAGCTCAGGAATGAACGGCAGGGTCCTTGGTGATCTCTTGAGGTTTGGGGGTTTTCTTGCAGGCGTTTCGTAACCGAACTAGGGAACGTCATCAGTGCTGGAAGGGGTGGAGGTGGTGGTCGGTCCCTCTTTTACATACAGTAGCTTGGCCTGCCAGTGTTGGCCAAGGTGTGGCTTTCTCCTTGGTAGTACTTTGATTAGGGTATTGCTCTCTGATTGACTGTTGTCTGGTGCTGGACAGGATGTGCTGTGATCTGATTGTTTCTTTCTTACTTTTTTTCTGGTCTCTTTTCGAACGGTGTGTAAATGTGGTTGATCTCTATGTGTCTGTTGATTGCTGAAACTACCAGGCTCAGAAAGCAGCAAGGACTCCACAGTTCTTCTCCTCCTCCTCCTCCTCCTCCTCTCTACAAATTTCCCTCCCTTCTAGCAGTGATGACATTACCTAGTTAGGTCATGAAACGTCTGCAAGAAAGCCACCAAGTCCAGTGTTCCCCAAGGACCCCTAAATCCAAGAATATTGTTGTGCCAAATTCTCTGGAGTCCTAATCTAACAGCAAAGAAGCTCAGGGCAGGATTGTCAAATCTAGGTTGCAGAGATCTGGATGACCACTAGATGCCAGCAGAGAATTGGGGAGGGATGGAGATCTTTTGCCCGCCACCTACTGGTCATCACATTTTGTCAACTCAGATCTGATATTCAAAGAAGCTAGTGGTGCCATTCTTGTTTTTTAATGTTTTTGTTGTTTGAGTCTCAGTGGTTTCATCTGATTATCTTTTATTTTTTTGATAGGGTGACACCAAGAGTTGATTGAAAGATGAGGCAGGTTATATAAATGTTTTAAATAAATAAAATTAGCAATGAGATGAACTAGGCTGCAGCTTAAGACTCCCTAAATACAAGTAGCCCTCGACTTACAATGATTCATTTAATCACTTAAATGAACTTTTGAAGTTACAACAGTACTGAAAAAAGGGACTTATGACTGTTTTTCACACTTACGACTGTTCCAGCTTCCCCATGGTCATGTGATCAAAATTCAGAAGCTTGGCAACTGACCCATATTTATGACGGTCGCAGTGTCTCGCGGTTACGTCATCCCCTTTTGTGACCTTCTGACTAGCAAAGTCAACAGGGAAGCCAAATTCACTTAACGACCTGTGACTCACTTAACAACTGCAGGGATTCACTTAGCAACTGATTCATTGAACATCGGTGGCAAGAAAGGTTGCCAAACGGGGCAAAATTCACTTAACAACTGTCTCATTTAGACTCAATTGTGGTTGTAAGTCGAGGACTACCTGTATTTAGTTTTGCATTGCAAAAATCTGAATTTTTCCATCAGTCTGAAATCCAATCAACCAGTTTTAACAGTGGTCCGTCATAAAAGAAATTCACTGGTCGGGGGTTTTATTTGAACTAAGTTTACCCAAGAATTTTGCAAACAAAAGGGAAAATTCCTAAGAAACAACGAAAGGTATTTAATTGAGTATCCGATAAGTTGCAGGAAGTCTCCAAGAAAAATGTACTTTAAATCTTTAAAAGAGAGAGAGAGATTTTCAGGAAATTCTGGATGGTTTAGACTTTCAGCACTGTGGCTCTGGGGCCTGAATATTTATTTAATTTAAGGTTTGCAAGGGGCCCCATGAACCCAAGGGAATTATTTTTATCCCTCTGTTGTTTCATCAGCAATTTCTATTCCAGATTTAAAATACAGAGAAAAAAACTCACTAACTATATTTATTCTCCTCTGTTTGCAAATGTTTCAGAATCTCTGGTCTTATATTTTAGAAAGACTTTAAGAGTCAACAAAAATAAAATAGAAACAGAAAAAAGAATTAGGAGAAGACGAGATCAGGAAAAGAGCAAAATTAGGAGAGCGGAAGAGATAAAAAAATAAAGAAAAAAATAGAAAAAGAATAATGTCTGACTTATTTCTGTACTGTGCAAATGAAAAGCACATGAAACCTCTTGCTGTAAAATTAGAGGAATATTCTGTAATACAGAATATTCTTAGAATCATAAATGGTTCTAATTGTCAGATCCCACAATTAAAATTTTGTTTCTTCCAAGCAAAAAGTAGAAATTCTAGTCCTCAAGCCACAGTTCTTATCCTAAAACCGAGATTAATTCCACTGAAAATAAGTTTATTTTGGAGAAAATATGTATAATGGGCTTCAGAGCAAGGAAGTAAGGTTTTCCTGGGAATAAGGGGCTCTGAATTTTACCGCTAAGAAAACAGATCTAGGTTGTAATCAGATTGGGGTAGACAGTTAAGTTGTAATTCAGGTAGTCCTCATCTTATGACCACAACTTTTAATCTAAAAAAGAATTAGGGGCCAGAATTTCTATTGCTAAACAGGATGAGTCACACCTGATTTTTTATGCCACGGATGTTAAGCGAATCGCAGAAGTTCACCAAATTATGCAGTTGATGAACAAATCCAGCATTGACTTGTTGGAAGCTGGCTTGACTTGATCAGTCCTCACACTTACAAACATCACAACATATCCACGCAAACGTGATTTTTAAAGGTTACCGGAATATATTTACAACCATTGCAGCATTCTGGGATTTGCGATGTTCCCAGCTGGCTCCAGACAAGCAGAATCAATGTGGGAAGCAGGATTCATTTAATGACCATGTGATTCACTTAACAACTGCAGGAATTCGCCAATCAACCGTTGGCCAAAAAAGTAAAAAATAAATAAAAATAAATAAAAATCAGGCACAACTCATTGAATGACCGCCTGGCTTTTGGAAAGGGACGTTCTAGTGTGGTAAGTGTTGTGTCATTAAGTGGCTCCATTGTGCATGCAATTTTGCATGGTAGGAGGGGGGGTGTCTGCGTTTGTGTTTGTGTGTTAGACACCACAATCTAGCATTCTAGTCCTTTTTTTTTTAGTGGCGATAAATTTACGCAACGCCGCATCTCAACAAAGGCCAGATTACATCCTGAAATTGGAGACGGATCGACAAGGAACACAATGCCCTGGAAATAAATCATAAACAGAGCGTTCCAGGCAGACAGCAAGCTTTGTGTATGTGTGCAGGAGTGTGTCGAAGGGTTGTGTGTTCTCTTTCCCCTATGAATTTTGCACACAGTTCAGTGTGACTATTCCACCCTCCGTCACTCCCTTTTGTGGCGAAAGGGATTAGGAGGAAAAGATATAAAGGGTTTTTTTTAAAGATCAATTAAACACAGGTGGTTCTCGACTTACAACAGTTCATTTAGTGACAGGTTCAAAGTTACAGCGGCACTGAAAAATGTGAGTGATGATCATTCTTCACACTTAAAATTACGCTTAAAATTAGTTTTTCAAATAGCTGCATCACGAGACTTTTGCAATTAAGAAAAGTCAAAGTTGGCTAAGAATTGCCAACTTATTCTTTCCCACAAGGCTCTGGGTCTGTTATGGCTGCTTAAGCCAAGATGGCGGCCAATTCCCAGAATCCCCTCTGCCTTCAACCTCCTTTCTTTCACCTCTTTCATGTTTCCCTAGGCGACCACCGAGCCACCGAAAAAGAAACCGGATCCCGTCACATCGGAAACTGTGGTGATTTGGGGTTTGCGACTTTGGCAAGTGGTTGGAATTTTTGCCATTTTTGTGCTGAGTGTTAGTAAGTGCCGTTCCTTTTTTCTTTTTTTTTTAATTTCCACCCTCTCGAGTACTGGTTTTATCGGGGATCAAAAATGTAAAAATGGTAGCGGAGAATTGTCATTGTACAGTTGTGTCTGCCTTGCTACAAGAGTCATAAGCGTGAAAAGAGGTCCGAAGTCACTTTTTTCAGTGTCGTCGCAACTTTGAGTGGCCCCTGAAGGAATGGTCGTAAGTCGAGGACTACCTGTCGTTGAAATAATATAAATTCTTACCAGTTCCTCTCTTCTCTTTCTCGCTTTCTCTTCCTTAGGGATGTTGCAATGGTCATAAGTGTGAAAAATGGTCCTAAGCAGGGGTGGGATGCAAATATGTTTACTACCGGTTCTGTGGGTGTTGCTAGGTGGGAGTGGCCATGTGACTGGCTGGGCATGGCTTGTTGTTGTTGTTGTTGTTGTTGTTGTTGTTGTTCTTCTTCTTCTTCTTCTTCTTCTTCTTCTTCTTCTTCTTCTTCTTCTTCTTCTTCTTCTTCTTCTTCTTCTTCTTCTTCTTCTTCTTCTCTTCCTCCTCCTTCTCCTCCTCCTCCTTCCTCCTCCTCCTCCTCATTTCTTCTTCTTTCTTCTTCTATTCCTCCTCCTCCTCCTCCTCCTCCTAGCCCTGATAATGTTACCTAAAAAAAATCTGTGAAAAAATAATCTAGTTCAGAGCACCAAACACCCCATAGTCCACCACTACTACTACTACTACTACTACTTCTTCTTCTTCTTCTTCTTCTTCTTCTTCTTCTTCTTCTTCTTCTTCTTCTTCTTCTTCTTCTTCTTCTTCTTCTTCTTCTTCTTCTCCTTCTCCTTCTCCTTCTCCTTCTTCTCCTTCTTCTCCTTCCCAATGATCAGCTGTTCCAATGATCAGCTGGGCTGGGATCCCCCTCCCTGTCTTACTCCTACACCCAGGAGGACTCCCTGAGGCGCAGAAGGCAAAAAATGGAGTGGGTTGGAGGGCGCAGCCCCCACCCCTGCATGTCCCTTTTTGCCTCCTGGGCCTCGGGGAGGCCTCCTGGGTGAAGCAGTAAGATAGCGAGGGGGATCCCAGCCCAGCTGATCATTGGAACAGCTGATCATTGGGAGGAAGAAAAAAAAATACCGGTTTGGCCAAGCCGGTAGCTGTTTATTTTTACTACCAGTCTGGCCAAACAGTAGCATTCTTCACTACCGGTTCGCTTGAACTGGGCCGAACCAGTAGAATACCAGCACTGGCCTTAAGTTACCTTTTTTCAGTGCCACTGTAACTTTCAACAGTCGTTAAATGAATTGTGGAGAAGACAATGAGGATCCAACAGGTGGTTAGGAAGGACTTAGAGGAAGGGCACATGCTAGGGGTCCAACTCTTGAAGAGGGAGGATGACCCCGGTGGATCCCTTCTCTAGGCTGTCCAAGGGTTGGAGGAGACCCAACCACGGAAGCTTGGTAGACGGAGATCTAACATAAGTTGGGATCTCTTGTTGGCAAAAGCTATGAAGCAACGGGAAAGATTGTTTCTTGAGGTCCATCTTTAGTTGAGATAGTCAAGTCTTCCAATCCTGGGCCAAGTTGGACCAGAAGATTCCCAAGATCTTAGCATTCAATGTTTCTAGATCTTGGACTAGCCTGTAAAAGTCCTCAGCTTACAGCAGTTTGTTTAGTGTCCATTCAAGGTTACAATGGCAATAAAAAAAAAAAGCGACTTAGGACTATTTTTCACACTTACAACCGCTGCAGCATCCCCAGGGTCATGGGCTCAAAATTCAGAAGATTGGCAACTGACTCATACTTATGACGGTCACAGTGTCCCGAGGTCACGTAATCCCCTTTTGCGACCTTCTGACAAGCAAAGTCAACGGGGAAGCCGGATTCGCTTAACAACCGTGTTCCTAACTTAAAAACTGCAGCAATTCACTTAACAACGGTGGCAAGAAAGCTCATGAAAACTCACTTAACAAAGGTCTGGTTCAGTGACAGAAATATGGGGCTCAGTTGTGGTCGTAAGTCGAGGATTACCTGTACATTCCGGTTGCCAAGCCTCTGATTTCTGATCAGGAATGTTGCAACAGTTATAAGTGTGAAAAACGGTCACATAATTCACAGTTTTCAATGCCGCTGTAACTTTGTACAGTAGCTGAACAAACAGTTATAAGTCAAGGACTGTGCAAAGCCAACCGTGCGCTGTCAGGAGCTGCCTCCATAGCTCTTCAGGTTGAACTGCTGCCTGGAGCAGAGAATCTGGATGGGGTTTTTAAGAGTCATAATGAATGGCGGCACGGTTGACAGGACTCGAACTCGCTTCTATCCCCGGGAATTAAGCAAATGGCCACTGTTCCACCGCACGCCCCATTGATTCCACCTGGCGCGGGCTGTTTTCCAGGTCTGCAGGCTTCCTGCTGGCATTGGAAGAAAAAAGCTGGGGAGAAAATGTTCTCAGACAGGGAAGGAAATATTTGCACCATTAAATAAGCATCATCGCGGGAAACGCGGCCAGAATTTTCCCGTGGCTGACAGTGAAAACAGACCCACCGAAAAAACTGCCAGAAAGAGAAAACAAGCTTTTTAAGGAGTCTACTTTTTATATATATATATATATATATATATTTTAGGCAGATTTAATTTCACGAGCATGGCGCAGGGAATGTGCTCCGAGCACGCCGGACGGCAGAGTTACTCAAAATGTTCTGACCTTGCCAATTGGCGCGTGAATTGTCTGGCTCCCTGTGTCCTATTTGACTTTCCCAGCGAATCTTTCTCGGCAACGCATCGAAAGGGCTTTGCGATCTTAAGGGAGAACAAGAGTCAGGCCGAGCACTGAGGACTGTGAGTCGAGGTTCCCTAGACGGGGGGGGGAGTCCTCAACTTACAGCCATTCCTTTAGCAACCATGCCAAGTTAGGGTGAAGGAACTTTTAAATTTAATTTAGCTTAAATTAGCTTAAATATTTTTTTTAAATTTAATATGCTGTCCATCTAATTATGAAGTGAGTTAGGGCCACTTACACCGTCATAAATCACGGTATAAGTAGTCCTCAACTTATAACGTTTTCCTTCCTTCCATTCTTCTCCTTTCTTTTTTCTCTCTTCTTCTTCCTTATTTCTTTCTCTTCCTTCCTTCCTTCCTTCCTTCTTTCTTCTCCTTGTCTCGTCTCTTTTTTCCTTTTTTCCCTCTGTTCCTGCTTCCTTTTTTCTTCCTTTTTTCTTTTTCCTTCCTTCCTTTCTTCTTCTTCTTCCTTTTTTCTTTCTGTCTTTTCCCTTCCCCTTCTCTCCTATCCTCCCTGCCTCCTTTCTCTTCTCCCTCTTTCCCCCTCTCTCCTTCTTTCATTTCATTTTTATTTCCCACTTCTTCTCCATTCTACAAATTCATATTTTTCCTTGCTTTTCAGCATTCAATTACAATTTTTAAAAATTTAACCCAGTGGTCTTTCCTTCGGGGGAGCCCCAAATGTGTGTGTGTGTGGGGCCCATTCTCCCATGGCGGGAGGTGGGGGGAAGATCCCCTGGCTAAGCCTCTCCTTTCTTTCTCTCAAGCCAATTCCCTCCCTTCTTTCCTCTCCATTTTCAGTCATCACCCTCTGCTGCATCTTCAAATGTCGCATCCCGAGGACCAAGAAGGAGATTGAGGCCCGCTACGCCAGGAGGCAGGCGGCCAAGATGTATGCAGACAAACTGGACAGTGTGCCCCCCCTCAACGAACTGACGGAGATCCCAGGAGGTGAGGAACCCCGTTTTTCCTCTGGGGTTGTTGGAGAGGAAGGCGGAAATTTGGGGCATCAGGTAGACAGAGGCCTCAACTTACGACCACAAGGGGGAGCAGAATTTTTATTGCTAAGCAAGTGAATGAGGGCGCTTGGTCATTAAGCAAATCCAGCTGGGCCCGTAGACTTGTCAGAAATGCGGCGATTTGTTTAACAACCATGGCATAAAGGTTGTCAAACTAGGTGGAACTCGCTTAACAACTGTCTTGCTTAGCAGTGGGACATTCTATCCTCGGTTGTGGTCGTAAGTCAAGGATGACTTGTACTGAAAGGAACTGCAGCCAGCTGTGTTCCTAACGCCCCCCCCATTAAAAGGCTGAGTGACACATCTGTCTGTTGCAATGGCCAGACTCACAGGTGACCTGCAGGTGTTCACTGGCTCAAGGAAGTGACCAGAACTATTGGTAGTTTTCCTTCCTTCCTTCCTTCCTTCCTTCCTTCCTTCCATCCTTCCTTCCTTCCTTCCATCCTTCCTTCCTTCCTTCCATCCTTCTCTTTCATGGTCCTTCCTCCCTTTCTCTCTCTCTTCTTCCTCCCTCTCTCCCTCCCTCCTTTTGCCCTCTCTCCTCTCTTCCTCCCTCCCTCCCTCCCTCCCGTCCATCCATCCTTCCTTCCTTCCTTCCATCCTTCTCTTTCATGGACCTTCCTCCCTTTCTCTCTCTCTCCTTCCTCCCTCTCGCCCTCTCTCCTTCCGCCCTCTCTCCTCCCTCCCTCCCTCCCTTCCTTCCTCCCTTCCATCCTTCCTTCCATCCTTCTCTTTCATGGTCCTTCCTCCCTCCCTCCCTTCCATCCTTCCATCCTTCCATCGTTCCTTCTCTTTCATTGTCCTTCCTCTCTCTCTCTCCTTCCGCCCTCTCTCCTCTATCCCTCCCTCCCTCCCTCCCACCCTCCCTTCCATCCTTCCTTCCTTCCTTCTTTCCTTCCTTCCTTCCATCCTTCTCTTTCATGGACCTTCCTCCCTTTCTCTCTC